TTACACAGAGCCCTTTGATGAACGTAGGATGAACTGAGCTTGATCCAGACAACAGAGGTGATGCTGGAAGGAAGGGGGCAAATGTTTGGAGGTATTGAGAGGCTGGGAGTGATCTCTCTGTGAAGAGGGGCATAACAGGCCTTAGTCTTAGCAGATTGCAATCCTGAGGTCTTATTGGAGCCATTCGTGCTCTTGGTCTCCAAAGGTGCCTCATAATACTGTCATCTTCAGCTGATCCGGAAGCTGCTTGGCCCTTCCTCTCTGAAGTGGCCCGTACCACAATTATCCACTTCCAGGCTGGCCTGCTGAAATGAGCTTTCTTGGGGTTACCTTTGAAAGCCTATTTCACCTAAGGCCCAGTTCAGCAAGGTGCCAAGTCCCTTCAAAATCCCATCGATTTCAATGAGTGCGATGGGTACTCAGCACCTTGCAGGACCAAGCCCCTGGTAGAGAATGCAGCTGCCTGGTTATTAAATGAGCCAGGACAACGCAAGCATAAAATGCCTGTGCTCTGTGTTCTGCACTGGCTTCCTAGTGACCTTCCGGGGCAATTCAAGTGGTCTTGTCTACACAGTGGCTCTGGTCCCTGATAGCTGCCAGACTCCTTTATACCCCACTGAGGCAGTAACAGACTACTAGACTGCTCTTGCTGTCTTCCTGGATAGCTGAACCCCAGAAGGCAGGCCCCAGGGCCTTCTCAGAAGGGAACCCTTACTTGGAACTCTCCAAAGCTTGAGTCTGGTTCCCTTTAGGAAGCTGTGCAAGATACATCAGTAAGTGTCATTGCAGTTGACAAGGAATGGTAGCTGGAGCGAGGCTCAGCCTTGTTTGGTAGCTGCATCAGTTAAGCAGTTTGAAGCTTGTCTCTTTAATGTTCATAACCAAACAGCATACGGTAAGGAGTTACAGTAACTCCTTGCTTAACGTTGTAGCTCTGTTCCTGAAAAATGGGACTTTAAGCGAAACGATGTTAAGCGAATCCAATTTCCCCATAAGAATTAATGTAAATGAGGGGGTTAGGTTCCAGGGAATTTTTTTTCACCAGACTACACACACACACACACACACACACACACACACAGTATTAAGTTTAAACAAACAAATAATACTGGTACACAGTGATGCTTGTAGAA